AAGTCTTGAACAAAGGGTGTACTTTGTTTGAGCTTTAGAGAAGAAGTCGAGCCTCGATTAACGGAGGCTATTCGAGGGCTCCATAGGCCTCAAGGGAGGCTCTATAGTGTACTTTGTTCGAGGGGAGGATTGTTCAGGATTGTTGGGAGGGAGTCCCACCTTGGCTAATTTAGGGAATGATCATGGGTTTATAAGTAAAGAATACATCTCCATTGGTATGAGGCCTCATGAGAGCTTATGCTCAAAGTGGACAATATCATACCATTGTGAAGGTCTATGATTCCTAACCGTATTTAGTTAGCACGGGAACGAGTAATTACCACGACGGGCAAGGACCATAACATTAAACCCGCAGCGAACTTCAAGCAAGTTACTGGATCATACTTGGAAAGGATAATGCCAAATAAAGATGCTCCAGCTATCTGCAGATTAACAAACAGAAAATCAAGATCACAAGGATCTGGAAAAAAAAAAGTTGATCTCAGAAGGCCCATTTACCTCACAGAGAAGGTCAATTCGATTAAGAACAGCATTAGCTTCTGCAAGTGCGATAGGTCGATTGATTCCGGCTAACTGTACGTGGAATTAGAACGCTAGTTTTAGCGATACATCTTGAATAACAAGGACACAAATAATTTAAAAATGAACGTACCAAGACGACCCAATCACGCTCCATAGCAACCCCCAAGGCTATTCCAGATAGCCTCTCTATGGCACCAGCAAAAATCAGGGTAATAAACCAAGGCTGAAGAAGTATGGATGATGATGCAGCAGAATGTGGAATAGAATGGGCATAAATTACCATTGAAGCAGATAGCAATTGAGCAGCAGCCTGAAGAAAACAGAGAAACCTTAAATTTAACAAAAACCAGACCATATTCAAGTCGAGTGTTACGGCTTTGGCTAGTTAAGTTCCATGCGTGCTCGAATATTTGACTTCTTATATTAAGCATATTTGAATGGACCTACCTGAACACAATTCAGGCAAGTGTATGCAGGTACTCTCGGAAAATTATCCATAAACTTCCCGACCAACGGACCTCCGACTATTAATGCAAGCTGTTAACACTTTTAACATATTAGAAAGCGTTTCTTTTGCATCGTAAATCAAAATGTTTTACCTCGACGAACAGCTAGTTACCTTTGTAAAGAACCCCATAACTGCAACTGGAAGAAGACTGTGATGAAGCAATGCAATGGCAGAAGGCCAAGCAAAATTCCAAAGCTGTTCTACCAAATTGCCCGCAATACATGTGGCGTATAAAGCTGTAAGATAGAAGCATTATTTATGGTTGGGAACAACCACCAGGATCGAAAAAGGCCTTATAGTTCACATCTACAAGTATCGTTGTCATACAAGGGCTGAAACATTCCAAGCCCACCGCTAGTGGACATTGAGATATCTCTAGCACTATGTAACGGTCCAAGCCCACCGCTAGCAGATATTGTCCTCTTTGGGCTTTCTCTTTCGAGTTTTCCCTCAAGGTTTTTAAAGAATGTTTTAGTCTCCTCTCTAACCGATGTGGGATCTCACAATCCACTCCCTTCGGACCCAACGTCCTTGCTCGCACCCGTTCCCTTCTCCAATCGATGTGGGACTCCCCAATCCACTCCCCTTCGGAGCCCAACATCCTTGCTAGCACATCGCTCGGTGTCTAGCTCTGATACCATTTGTAACAGTCCAAGCCCACCACTAGCGGATATTGTCCTCTTTGGGCTTCCTCTCAATGTTTTAAAACACGTCTTGCTAGGGAGAGGTTTCCACACCCTTATAAAGAATGCTTCGTTCTCCTCCCCAACCATGTGGGATCTCACATATCAGTATCAAAATTTCGGAAGGTTCTTACCGTACAATGCAGCAGGATGAGCTGGAGTTGCCGCAAGCACATTCTGCTCCCCCTCAGATAAAACCTACAATTACAGAACCAGAGTTGATTTAATTACTATCTTCTTCCATCATAAAAGTCAATTACATTAAATCATAGAGAAGGAGAAATAACCAAGGCAGCATACAGGCAAAGTTGTCAAAAGACTATCGACATAAGTTCGTTCGGTCAATAAACCCAAAGGTTCTGTTTGTAGAGTCAATGTATCAGCCTCCAGGAATCCAGAATTCAATTGTACGATTGAAAGTGAACAATCAGCTTCTACAGAAGATAAAGCTTCTTGAACATCATCTTCCACAGAAACTTGATCGAGTTTTACATCGGAGTTGGTTATCGAACATTTCGAAATGACTCTCTGAAGCCTGAAGCCAAAAAATTCCAGTAGAGAGGGATTTTGATCATAAATTCCAACAAGAAAGCAATATTTCAAGATTAACTAAAGGGAATTGGTGAGCACAAATGTTTCGGAGTTTGAAGATTGTAATAGCCTAAGCTCACCGCTAGCAGATATTGTCGTATTGCCGTCAGCCTCACAGTTTTAAAACGCGTCTATTAGGGAGAGATTTCCACACCCTATAAGAAATGTTTCGTTTTCCTCTCCAACCAATGTGAGATCTCATACTCCACCCCCTTGGGGTCCCAGCATCCTCGCTGGCACACCGCTCGCTGTCTTGCTCTAATACCATTTGTAATAGCTCAAGTTCATCGCTCAAATATTGTCTGCTTTGGCTCGTTACATATCACCATCAGCCTCACAGTTTTAAAACACGTCTATTAGGGAAAGGTTTCCACACCCTATAAGAAATGATTCGTTCTTCTCTCCAATCAATGTGAGATCTCATAATCTACCCCCTTGCGAGCCCAGTATCCTCAATGGCACACCGCTCGGTGTCTTGTTCCAATACCATTTGTAATAGCCCAAGTTTATCGGTAGCAGATATTGTCCGCTTTGACCCGTTACATATCGTGTAACGGCCCAGATCCACCGCTAGCAGATATTGTCCTTTTTGGGCTTTCCCTTTCGGGCTTCCTCTCAAGGCTTTAAAACGCGTCTGCTAGGAAAAAGTTTCCACACCCTTATAAATGGTGGTTTGTTCTCCTCCCCAACCAATGTGGGACATCACATATCACCGTTAGCCTCACAGTTTTAAAACGCATATATTAGGAAGAGGTTTTCACACCCTATAAGAAATATTTCGTTCTCCTCTCCAACCAATGTGGGATCTCCTAGAAATATACGAGATATGCCCATTGGACCTAAGTTGCCGTATTTTCATTATCTCAACATGATAAGAACATCAGTTGCACAAAGTCCTCTTTCACCAACCACGACATTCAAATTCCAACTCACAGGATCAATTGTTATATGAACAAACCGAAACATTTAGCAGCTAAATGATCGTCTAAGCTAAGGTATAGCAGACAACAAATCCAGCTGCACTCTAACAATTCCATCAGACAAGAACATCATAATGTTACAATAAATCCTTTTCGTCGGTCATAGGAATTACCTGGAGCTGGAAGAAATGCAAGCCTGATTCAGATTCTTCAACCGTCGGCAAGAAATGAAGCGATTGCGAACTCGAGAAGAATGCCACGATAAAGAAACTTCACGGATTGAAAATCTGAAACAGCTGAAAGAGTATGTCTGAGTGAGCGCGAGAGTGTAACAAATAGCCATGGCTGCTGCTGTTGCTGTTGCTGTCGCTTTTGCTTCCAGTTCAAGCTCCCAAACTTGAAGAGCCTACAAAAGGAGTTTCGCCCACTCATGCAGCCCCTCAAGCAAAAATCAGCGACTGGGTTTTATTCAAGAACATGGAAAAACAATTCCCAAAACGATTTCGTTACCAATTTCAAAAACCCTCGACTCAAATCCTGTTGGGTAATCGAAAATGCTTGAATTTCGAAGCAACCCACGATTTGATTCCTGTCGAACAATCTGGGTTGATAAAATTTTGTGGGTTATTGATGGTTTTGGGAGTGGAAGAGAAGCCGGAAAAGAGCCTTATCTTTGTACCGTCTGATTTTGGTTATGAATAGCAACCAGCGGACAGTTCAAGGCTGGGTGGCGTATGATCGCTTAAGGCCTCAAGTTAGGTGTGCTTTGGAGACTCGGGGGTTCGTGGGCCATTAGAAATTTAGCGTTTAGATACCGTAAAATGGTTTACAATAGAAATTGAGATGGAAATTAATCGGAGTTCGTAGTGGAGGCTAGCGCTTGATTTGATCGAGTCATCGTTCTTGAAGCTTTGTCTTCTTTTAAAAATATCTTCGCTTTTTTTTTTTTTTTTTTTTAATTAATTATTTATTTATCAATGGCTAGTTTTTTAATTTCACAAAAAGATTTTTAATTAATTATTTATTTATCAATGGCTAGTTTTTTAATTTCACAATAAGATTTTACTAGACTGATTGACGTCTAATAAAAACAAAGTTTATTTGAACTAAATTCTCAAATGGGTTGTATTGACTTTTTTTTTTTTTTTTTAATTCTGGTCGGTTTTATCAGAATCTTGTCCCATCTTGAGTAGACTTATTTTAAAACTGTGAGGCCAATGATGATAAGTAATGAATCAAAAGAGACAATATCTGCTCGGTGAGTCGAACTGTTATAGAGATAGCCATCATGAGCGGCAAAGTCCTATACAACTAGCTCATTCTATTCATGGGCTGCTTTGTCCGTCACTATTTTTTCTTTTTTCACGTCGATATTTTAATTGAGTTCAAACTCCGAACTGTTGAAAGTCAATGACATCATCATGGTTGTCACTATCTTCAGCAATGTCATTACATGGATCTTTGTCACACTTAGTAAACATCGGAGTTCATTTGTCCTATCTCAGAGAGTTTCAATTTTATATTTAATTAGTCAAATCTAGAATATAAAATTTTAATTTATATCTCATAAGCTAATTAATTTTTATTAAGATTTCAAAATTTAAAGATCGCATAAACGAAAACCTCTTAATCAGAAGTAGGGTTCGATTTTGCTTCCTCAAATGCGAACCAATCTTCGGCGGACAAATCAATGGCGTTTGTCGCATATGTTCGCAAGTCGAAGAATCTGGCTATGGCTATCCATGGTAAGAAGCTGGATATTTTCTCAGGTAACTATTCAGACTCTGCCACTTTTCATTTTCAGATTTCCAGTCTCGATAATAGAAGCGTAATGGTGTTTTCTGGCTGAATTCGATCCACGAATCTCTGTTTTTTTTTTTTTTAGTGGATTGGAAAATTAGGGAAAATTTTAACTAGTTAGGGTTGTTGATGAGAATTAGCTGGTATCGCTATCAGGTGGATCATCTGTCCTTTTGTGAATTTCTACTTTGTTAGGTCATCTAACTTGGTCTCTTTTTCATTTTCATTTATATTAACACTCGTGATGGGGTAAAGTGGAGCAGTTTCGAAGAACATTCGAGTGTAGTGTTTAGTAAAAGTTTAGAGGATCAACTTCAAAACGGATTAATTTAGTTTTCTTTTTCTAGCTTTTGTTGTTCTTGGCATTAAATTTGAGCACACACTTAATGAAGTTTTGAAAAAAGAAGATTACATTTTCTTGAAACAGTTTTTGGTGACTCTGAGAGGTATTGAAAATTTTGATACAGCGCCCGAAATCGTTAGTGAGTTCGAATGAAGCTCGAAAAATCCTCATAAGAAGTAGTGTTAGATTCTGCTTCCTCAAATGCCAACCATTCTTCAGCGGGCAATTCAATGGCGTTTGATGCGTATGATGTTTGCAATAAGAAGAATCTGGCTATGGCTGTTCACCATTAAGAATTTGGATGTTTTATCAGGTACTCTACTCAGACTCTGCCATTTCGCATTTTTTGATACCCACACAAAAATAGAGAATCGAAATCAGAAGCGTAAAGGGGGTTTTAGGCTGAATTGGATCCACGAATTTCATTGTTTTGTACTGATTGGAAAATTAGGGTAAATTTCAATTAATTAGGATTGTTGATGAGATATACTTGAGATCATGTGCTATTAGAATATAGTTTGTATGTAAATATTTTGATGATTCAAAGTTGGGACATTCCTAATGTGGAAGGTCTGATATGAAGTGTTGAAAAATTCCTTAAAAAATAGGGGATAAGAATCACAAAAAGATCTTAAGAAGGTTGGAGCATGCTTGGTAATGATTTTTAAATAGCTTAATTCATCTTTGTCAGGTTCTTTCGAAATATGTTTTTAATCATTTGAAACCAGTTTTGCTAATAAGAAAAGAGAAGAGAGACCTTAGTAAATCTGTGCATGAAAACCTTAATATTTCATGATAAGAGGACATATGGTTCTTTTAAAAGAGCGGTAATTACTCTTTTCAAGGCGAGTTCTAATCTGTGCTGGAAAACTACTACTAGTTATGTGTCTCCCGGAGAGAACTCATGTCCTAAATGATATCTTTATCTTTTATAGAAAGATTGAAGTTAATTCTTAAGTAACGTTCAAAGATATTGTGTAACGACCCAAATCCACCGCTAGCAGATATTGTCCTCTTTGGGCTTTCCCTTTCAGACTTCCCCTCAAGCCTTTAAAACGTGTCTATTAGGGAAGGTTTCTACACCCTTATAAAGGGTGGACTTTCACTTTCCCTTTCGGACTTCCCCTCAAGGCTTTAAAACGTGTCTACTAGGGAAGGTTTCTACACTCTTATAAAGGGTGGACTTTCCCTTTTGGGCTTCCCCTCAAGGCTTTAAAACGTGTCTACTAGGGGAAGGTTTCTACACCCTTATAAAGGGTGATTTGTTCTCCTCCCCAACCAATGTGGGACATCACAATCCACCCCCCTTCGGGATCCAGCGTCCTTGTTGGCACTCGTTCCTTTATCCAATCGATGTGGGACCACCCCCAAATCTACCTCTCTTTGGTGCCCAGCGTCCTTACTGGCACACCGCCTCGTGTCTACCCCCCTTCAGGGAACAACGAGAAGGTTGGCACATTGTTCGGTGACTGGCTCTGATACCATTTGTAACGACCCAGATCCACCGCTAGTAGATATTGTCCTCTTTGGACTTTCCCTTTCCGGCTTCCTCTCAAGGCTTTAAAATGCGTCTGTTAGGGGAAGGTTTCCACACCCTTATAAAGGGTGATTTGTTCTCCTCCCCAACCAATTCGGGACATCACATGTTGCATGGTTTGAAACATGAATAGAGTTCTCAAATTTCATTTTTTCTTTATAATGAAGCATTTCCGAACAGAAAGCTTGGAAACAGAAAAAGAAACACAAATCACAAAACAAATTTCCTATAAAATTTGTATACAGCTTGTAGAAGGAAAATATGAAACTAAACCACCCTAAACTTATTGACAGGGTGAGTTAATACAAGTAAAGTCTAATCATCATGAGTTCAATTATAAGAGTGTTTCAAAGGAGTTTGGGAATCCACCCATCTTGGTTAATGAAGGATTCCACGGAGTAGCTGTTTAGTTGTGAGGCTCCCTGCGTCTTTGCCCATGAAACCCCTTTGGAAGGGGCTGATTGCGTCTTTGCCCATGGAACCCTTTTGGAAGGGGAAGATCCTATCCCCCTACTATTCAACTCGATGTACATAAAATTTTTCCTACATAATGTAACACCAATTAGAACCTGACAATAAAATTTGGAACTCCAAAAGTTTTTTTCTTTTTTTCATCTTTTTGGGGTGTGAACTTACTCTTTGCCCCTGAAGTTCCAGGCATTCCATCCCTCTGGTGCTACCACGTTCCCCATGTTAGTATCTTCGAATACAACTCTAGAAAAAGGACCATATGCTCTCCCCAAAAAAGCTTTGCCCGACCCCATTATGGTGCATTGTTTAAATACAAATCCGCTCGGATCTTTTGCGGATTGTCGACCTTGTGCAGTAATGTATCCTTGGTTGACTTCAGGGAGAAGTCCAACATTAACATATATCAAGCAGCCCTGCATTTTTAGTCTCTCCAATTGTGTTATTAGTAGAACATCATCGTTATTAGTAGAACATCATCGCCAATGACAATTTGCAGAAAAAAGAAGTCGAACCGATTACCTCATAAACTGATTGACCATTACCAAAGATGAAATCTATAGCACCTTCAATGTAACAACTTTTGAAATAATGACGGCCTTTTACATCCCATAATGTGTCTTGAAATCCCTTGAATCCACAGCTGATAAAAGCCGATTTGTCCCCGTAGATTCTTGCAGCTAATGCTTGTGTATAGAAAGTTTCAGCACTTTGAACAAACAATTGTGGAGCATTTGCCAGATTGAAGGAGTTCTGCGTGCAGCACAAGCATAAAAGCAACAATTCAAATAAGATAGATTATGATCAATGATTGAACAATCAAAGTCTTCTCTGACTGCTTAGGTGTGTACTATACTTATACTTTTCATGCGTTTCTAAGCTTTAAGTTCAGTTTATAGAAGCTGTAATACCTGAAAGGTAATGCCTCTCACAATAATGTTATCAGCAATTGAACTAAATGTAGCGCTAGTATCTGTTTGTTGATGGTCATTGAAAGTGATAATTGTTGTATTGCGGTCACCTCCTTGTAGATAAATGAATGGTTTTTTTGACGTGATCGTCACCTTTTCTCTACAAATGACCATATTAGAACAAAACCTCACTAGAATTAGGCATATTCATGTGTTGTATTACCTGTATACACCAGGATTGACTTGAATCTTAACCCATTTGTTGTTGTTAAGTGGAACTGAGTCGATGGCTGCTTGAATGGTCTTGAAATTGCCTTTGCCCGACTTGTCAACAACAATGACGGATTGAATTTTAAAGTCAAGGGCCCTTGTAGAGTTTATTGCAGCATTAAAGAGGGTGAAGAGCAAGAGAAATGGAGATAGTAGTTGCATTCTTCTCGGTTCAGAATTCTTCTGGGTTGAGAAGGGAGCTGAAATCTACTAGTTGACTATATTAATAAAAATATTTGATAACTCGGTAATTGTCTCAATAATATCTTTAAACTTTATGATTAGTTTCGGATAGTTTGATTAATTTAGTCTAATTATTTAAATTAAACCCATGAAATGGCGACGATAATAATAATATTATTATGAATTGGCATACCTTATCAAATCTCTCTTCTCCCTCTCTTCTGCAGTCAAATGGGCACTTTGAATATGCAAATGGAACAAAAAGAATTCCAACTTTAATAGAGCTTAAATAAACTTAGTTAATTTTATTTCTATTTTAGAAAATTATAAATAAACTTACTATAATTAATTATATAAAATTATATAAATATTAGGTAGGAGTGTTCATATTATAACCTAATAACTCGACTACCAACTAAAACCATAAAAGCTGAATTAAGGTTAGATTATGTTAGTTTTTTCTTTTTTTTTTTTTCTTGGACTAGATTAAATTTTTCGAAAAACAAAAACTCAAGTTCAGCTTGTGGTTGACAGTTTTTTTTGGACGGGTCAATCCTACCAACTCGAAAACATGGTTACAATCCGATCCAACCTTTTTCTATTTTTACAAAGATTAAGAATATACTGTGACTTGTAAATGTTGAATATTTAAACTTTAGTTATTAATGAAATTTGTATTATGGATGAGTTGAATTTTTTAAAATATTTTTTAAAAAATAACCCAACTCTGTTTGAGGTGAATTGAGATATAATATTTGGATAATATATTATAATAATCTATTAATATTCTTTACTTCATGATTTGATTAATAGTATATTTTATTTTATTCTCAATATTTAATTAATTTATATTTTCATTATTTGTAGGTATTAGTTGGTAGCTTGTATCCTATTTAAACGTTATGAATATCAATGAGAATACACACCTTCGATCTCAATTCTATTTCTCACTCTTAACATGGTATCAGAGCACCGATTTTGATATTCTTAAATATTAAAATTTCTTCTTGAATTAGGGTTTGATATTAGAGCCAAACTTTAACAAAATCAGTGAAGCCTTTACTGCTGCGGTTCATCCATTGTGATAAATTTCATCGTGATAAATCCAATCGAGTATCACAATAACCACAACTTCCTGCTTTCAACAGCTTTCAAACCATCGCCATTGCTTCCGAATCTCAATCATTCTACTAGACCGAGAACTGTGGTTGGCAAACTCTTCTCGATCATCCAATATCAAGAATACGTTATAAGCATCTTCAAATTTCTCACCAAGCTCAAAACAAGATGTTCGTATTTTCTTTCACAACCTCTCAAGTGATCTAGAGCACCGATCTTGGTGTTATTATCCAACTTCAAAACTTCGAATGTTTATTTAACACATCCTTATTATATTCATCACTCTAATTAGCCAGGATATTCACTTGTTCCAATCAAATTAAATGGAACAAATTATCAATCCTAGAGCGGATCATTTATGCATAAATTAAGAAGTAGCTCTTTAAGTTCTGAGATACATCAAAAGACAGTCTATTTATGTGTTTTGCATCTTTTTGGGAAATTCAATAATTTCTTGAGAAGTCTAAAAGGCAAACCAATGTGTCAAGATGATCAGCAAAGAAAAGTTGGGTGTTATTGACATTTACTCTCCAACTTGAGGGAGAGTGTTAGATATAATATTTGAAGAATATATTATAATAATTAGTAATGGAATATATCTTACATATTCGTAATGAGTTAATATTTCTTTGTTTTATGATTTGGTTAGTAGTATATTTTATTTTATTCTCAATATTTAATTAGTTTATATTTTCCTTATTTGTAGGATGAGTTGGTAGCATGTATCTTATTTAAACATTATGAATATCAATAAGAATACACCTTCGGTCCGAATTCTAATTCTTATTCTTAACACTGTGCCACGTCCGTCTCATACTTTTTTTTTTCTTTTTTTAATTAATTTTTATTTTCTCCAAAATCCAAAAAAAAAAAAAAAACTTTAATTAATCTAATAATTCTTAATATATAACTCTAATACGTATAATATGACCTAAACTCAAATTAAAATTTTTTGGGACTCAATAAAGCTAAAGTTTGGCGGAACCTAAAAAGTAAAGGACTTCTCATTGCAATAAGAGATAATTTGAGGTCGTAGAGATGGAAAAGTATGTAAGTATCATTGATTATTTTGCAAGAGTGATGATGATCTCCAATAACATGGGAAGATTTGGCAGACAAGAAAAATGATAAGATGTATTAATTTTGAGATTTATGTCTATTTTGTATCAAATAAGTATCCAAACTTTTTTTTTAAAAAAAAAAAAATTGATAATAAATCTCTTAGTTTTTAATTTCAAAATTTTAAAAAATTAACGTAATAAACATTATTTGAAGATTGCAATAAACATTATTTAAAGTTTTGAAACAGTTTTCTAAGACTTCGAGAGAGGGATCGAAAACTTTGATACGTAATCGAGAGTGAGTTGGAATGAGACTTAAAAAATCCTCATCAGAATTAGTGTTCAATTATGCTTCCTCAAATGGCAACTAGTCTACAGCGAGCAATTTTCAATGACGTTTGATACATATGATGTTCGCAAGAAGAAGAATCTGGCTAATCTGGCTATGGTTGTTCACCATTAAGAATTTGGATGTTTTATAAGGTATTCTACTTAGATTCTGCCCCTTCGCATTTTTAGATACCTACACGAGAATCAAAATTATATATATATATATATATATATATTGCGAATTCGATCCACAAATTTTATTGTTTTGTACTGATTGGAAAATTAGGGTAAATTTCAATTAGTTACGATTGATGATGAGATATGGTGATTGTGTGTTGAAACTTGAGATCGTATGAAGATTTATTTGGAGGCCTTTCATCTTTGGGAAGTAATAGAAAAGAATTACGATGTCTTTCCATTTTTCAGCAAATCCTAGTATAGCACAAATCAAAGCACAAAAGGAAAAGAAGACAAGAAAGTCAAAGGCAAAAGCTTGCCTATTTGCAGCCGTATCTCAAATGAACTTCATGCGAATAATGTCCCTTAAAACAGCAAATGAAATCTGGGATTACCTCAAGGCTGAATATGAAGGAGATGAGAGGATTCGTGGAGTGAAAGTCCTAAATCTGTTTAGGGATTTCGAGTTGTAGAAGATGAAGGAGTCTGAGTCGGTGAAAGAGTACTCTGACAGACTTCTCAGCATTGCCAACAAGGGGAGATTGTTTGGTTCTGTGTTAAATGATTCCAGGATCGTTGAAAAGCTACTGGTCACTGTTCCAGAGAAGTTTAAAGCCACCATTGCTACTCTAGAGAACACCAAAGACCTGTCAAAGATTTCTCTTACAGAGCTTTTGAATGTTATACAAGCACAAGAGAAGAGGAGGTCTACGAGGCAAGGAGGGGTGATTGAAGGTGCCTTACCTGTTAAGCATCAGGACAACAACAGGTATAAAAACAAGAAAAATTTAAAAGACCAATCGACGAATAGAGATTCATCTGCCAATTATCAGAAGACAAAGGAGGAGGTTTGAAAAAACTCTATCCACTTTGCCGCCATTGTAAGAAGAAAGGTCATCCACCATACAAGTGTTGAAGAAGACCTAACGCCAAATGCTCCAAATGCAATCAACTTGGACATGAAGCTATGATCTGCAAAGACAAAAGGCCAGGTGAAAGAAGTAGATGCACAGGTAGTTGATCAAGAAGAAGAAGATCAATTGTTTGTGTTCACTTGTTTCTCAGGCAAAGAATCAAGCGAGATTTGGTCGATTGACAGTGGGGGCACAAATCATATAACATATGACATGAAATTTTTTGAGGAATTATGAGATACTGAAGTTAAGAGAGTGAGGATTGACAATGGTGAACACTTGGAAGTCAAGAACAAGCTATGAAGGTACAAAATTTATTCCAGATATTTTATTTGTACCTAAAATTGATCAAAATCTCTAAGTGTTGGTTAGTTACTTGATAAAGACTATAAAATGTTGTTTGAGAATAAACACTGCTTGATCTGAGATGTTAGTGACAAAGACTTGTTCAATGTCAAAATGAAAGAAAAAAGCTTTGCTCTAAATCCGATGGAGAAAGAGCAGATGACCTTTATATCAAGAGCTAGTGCCACTAAGATTTGGCACAAAAGACTTGGGCATTTTCATCATCGAGGTTTGCTTCAGATGCAGTCAAAGAAGCTGGTAGAAGGATTCACTGACATTGATGATGACATGACTCTTTGTTGTGCTTGTAATTTTGGGAAGCAACATAGGCAACCCTTTCCTAAACAGGCATGAAGAGCCTCAAAAAAGCTGCAGCTGGTTCATACTGATCTTTGTGGTCCTCAGCCAACACCATCATTAAATGGTAATTTTTATTACATTGTTTTTATTGATGATCTAACAAGAATGTGTTTGGATCTTCTTGTTGAAACAAAAGTCAGAAGTTGCGATAGTATTTTGGAAATTCAAAGCCAGAGTTGAGGATGAAAGTGCATGCTTGATTCAGACTATAAGATCAGATAATGGCAAGGAGTACACTTCAAAAACTTTTAACAGATTTTGTCAAGAGGATAGAATTAAACATCAATTGACAGCACCATACACTCCTCAACAGAATGACGTCAGTGAAAGGAGGAATAGATTCATAATGGAGATGACAAGATGCATACTTCTTGAGAATAGTCTTCCAAAACGTTTTTGGGGAGAAATAGCAAACACTATTGTGTACTTGCAAAATTGAATTTCAACAAAAGCTGTGAATGACCTGACACCATTTGAAGCTTGCATGTTAGAAGAGTCTGAAGATGAACGACAAGATGCTTTGGTTGATGATGCACCTGTCAGAGGTATAAGGTTGCTGTCTGATATTTATCAAAGGTGTAATGTAGCTGTTGGTGAGACTACAGGGTGATGCAAAAAAACAATCAACATTGGATGGCTGCAATGCAAGAGGAGCTTTCGAAGATCGAGAAAAAAAAACCCTAGGAGTTGGTTGATCGATCTCTAAACAGAAAGATAATTGGTGTTAGATGGGTGTTCAGGAAAAAGCTTGGAGTTTGCAGCATCTAAACAAGGAGGAGTGTTAAAGATCACTTGTTTTATATTTCTATCCGTTAGTATCTTTCTGTTAATGTTTATGATTAAATCTCTAGTTAAGAGTTGATTTAGTTTTGATTTGATTTACTGGTTTCTTACCAGATTTTTAGGTAGATTTGTTAATATCTTTTTATATTATTTGTATATATAGAGCCTTTTTGCTCTTCATAATAAATCTTCTCATCAACCATTCAATCACTCATTCTTTTAGTAACAAAAATTGTGAACTCAAGTATTAAGTTGATTTTAGATAATCAAAGACACGCTTGAGAATAGTCTTAAATAGGATAAAAGCATTTTAGTCGTTTCATAATCGCTTTAAAACATGCCCTTTGTTGTCTCTTAGAATTGACTCTCTTTTCTGCAACATGTCACAACCATACTATGAAGTGAATAGGTTGTGGTCCGCATGTGCAGACAAGACGAATGCCATGATGCGATCGGGGAGGACGGTGCATCATCTAACACACCAAAGGAATGTGCATTAAAGCTAAGATGAGGCATCACTGTGATGGAGCCGATGAGTGGACAAGAAGAACAAAGATAAGCTTGATGAAGGGCAGAGTAGGTAGGGCTCCGAACCTTAACCTTGAAAGTTAGGATTATGGAAAGAATTTGGGCATGTGGCTCTGGAGTTAAGTTCATCCATATGAAATATGAATGCAAAAGTTTGGTGTCAATCAGACACTGAACGGACGCTCCACGAGGTTGTATGGTCGTTAAGCAAAATCACGTCTACTCTAGGAAGATTGAAAATTCATTAGAATGTACCTTAGGGGAGGTATGATGTTAGCTCTTCATCATCCTTAGGCCTTGTGGCCTAAGCAAGCTACCCTGTGTCACATACGTGTGTCATAGTAAGGGTAAGCGTTGCGAGAGGAATGTCTCAGACGACTTCCTTTGAAATGAGTTTTTTAAGAACAGCATTGGACGGCACGAGCGTGCCATCATTGTGCTCCAGCCCATGTGACAGAGGTTGGATCATACATCCCCTATTCAGTACAAAGTTCGTAAATGATATGGCATGGACGGGGGAGGGTCCAATGCCTCGATAGACACAATGTTGAATTGAAAGACCTTGACCCCGAGTTGCGGCGATGTCAAGCCGAATGACTTAGTCTAGTGTAGAGGCAAGTCGATTGAGTCACAGAAGATTGTGCCTGCACGTGCAGGCAGCTTGTGTAGCAAAACCAGCTTGGATTCCGCACCAGTTATATTCGGTTGGCGAAGACAAACCTCGCCTAAGGTCCAACGAAGCCTTAAAGTTGGGCGAAAAATGTATATGGGGTTTGGGTTCCCCTCAAGGGTTGTCGTAATCGTGTTAAGATCACAACACTACACATTGAAATGTATGACTATGACACTAATAACATAAGTGGACGCGAAAAAGGCCTCTTTTAGCGGGCTTATGGTTCTTTTAAAAGAGAAAGGTAATAACTCTTTTCTTTGAATTCTAAGGTGAGTTCTAATTTGTGCACGAAAACTACTACTAATCACGTGTCTCCATGAGAGAACTTGTTAGTGAAAGAATGAGTGATTGAATGGTTGATGAGAAAATTATATTATGAAGAGCAAGAAGACTCTATATATACAGAGAGAATACAAAAAGATATTTAGAAAATCTACCTAAAAATCAGAAAAAATCTGATAACAAACCAGTAAACAAATGAAAACTAAATCAACTTCTAACTATAAGGAGATTTAATCAAATACGAACTGACAGCAATCTAAACAAACACGTGATTTTTAACACTCCTCTTGTTTAGATGCTGTGAACTCGAAGCTTTTTCCTGAACACCCATCTTACTCCAATTATCTTTCTGTTTAGAGGTCGATCAATCAATTCCCTGGTTTTATTTTTCTCGATCACCGAAAGCTCCTCCTCTGTTTGGCAAGTTTTTGGTGTTCTTCAGAGTAGTAATGGTGGCTTCAAACTTCTCTAGAATAGTGACTAGCAACTTTTCAACAATCCTGGAATCATTTATCACAAAACCAAGCAATCTCACCTTGTTGGCAATGCTGAAAAGCCTGTTAGAGTACTCTTCCACCCACTCAAACTCCATCTTCAGCAACTCAAATCCTTAATCAAATTCAGGACTTTCATTCCATGAATCCTTTCATCTCCTTCATATTCCGCCTTGAGCTAATCCCATATTTCCTTTGTTAGTTTAAGGGACATTGTTCGCATGAAGATTATTTGGGATACAGTTGCAAATAGGCAAGCATTTGGGAAGCAATAAAAGAGGATTTGCTGGAAGTGGAAGGACCTCGTAATCCTCTTCTATTGCTTCCCAAAGATCCAAGGCTTCCAGATAAGTCTCCATACGAACTGTCCATATTTGATAATTGTCTTCATCCAAGACCGGTGGAGCAACAGCTAAAAAACTAGATTCTCCTTCCATTTTGATCTCACAAATCCCTTAAGAAGACGGCTTTGATACTTATTGAATGGTTGATGAGAAGATTATACTATGAAGAACAAGAAAGCAATATATATATACAGAATACAAAAAGATATTTAGAAAATTTACCTAAAAACCTGCATAAAATACGGTAACAATCCAGTAAACAAATCAAAACCAAATCAATAAGGAGATTTATTCAAATAATAACTCACAGCAATCTAAACAAACACGTGATCTTTAACAGAACTCATGTCCTAAAACATATCTTATCTTTTACAGAAAGATTGAAGTTAATTCTCAAGTAACGTTCGAAGATATTGTGTAGTTTGAAACATGAATAGAGTTCTCAAATTTCATTTTTTTTTTCTTTATAACGAAGCATTTCCAAACAGAAAGCTTGGAAACAGAAAAGAAACACAAATCGCAAAACAAATTTCCTATAAAATTTGTATACAGCTTGTAGAAGGAAAATATGAAACTAAACCACCCTAAACTTATTGACAGGGTGAGTTAACACAAGTAAGGTCTAATCAACATGAGCTCTATTAATAGAGTGTTTCAAAGGAAATTGGGAATCCACCCATCTTGGTTAATGAAGGATTTCACAGAGTAGCCGCTTAGTTGTGAGTTTCCCTGCGTCATTGCCCATGGAACCCTTTTGGAAGGGGAAGATCCTATCCCCCTACTATTGGACTCGATGTACACAAAATTTGTCCTACAGAACGTAACACCAATTAGAACTCGACAATAAAATCAACAACTCTAAAAGCTTTTGTTTTTTATCTTTTACGTTTTGAACTTACTCTTGGCCCTTAAAGTGCCAGGCATCCCATCCCTCTGGTGCTACGACCTTCCCCATGTTCGTATCTTTGAATATAACTCTTGAAAAAGGACCGTATGCTCTCCCCAAAAAACCTTTGCCCGACCCCGTTATGGTGCACTGTTGAAATACAAATCCGCTTGGATCGTTTGCGGATTGTCGACCTTGTGCAGTAATGTATCCTTGGTTGACTTCAGGGAGAAGTCCAACATTAACATATATCAAGCAGCCCTGCATTTTTAGTCTCTCCAATTGTGTTATTAGTAGAACATCATCGCCAATGACAATTTGCAGAAAAAAGAAGTCGAACTCATTACCTCATAAATTGATTGACCATTACCAAAGATGAAATCTATGGCACCTTCAATGTAACAACTTTTGAAATAGTGGCGGCCTTTTACATCCCATAATGTGTCTTGAAACCCTTTGAATCCACAGCTGATAAAAGCCGATTTGTCACCGTAGATTCTTGCAGCTAATGCTTGTGTAAAGAAAGTTCCAGTAATTTTATCAAACAGTTGCGGTGCATTTGCCAGGTTGAAGGAGTTCTGCGTGCAGCAGCACAAGCATGAATAGACTATGATCAATGATTGAACAATCTAAATCCTCTCTGACTACTCAGGTGCATACTATACTTATACTTATCATGCAACTATGAGCTTTAAGTTCAGTTTATAGAAGCTGCAATACCTCAAAGGTAATGCCTCTTGCAATAATGTTATCAGCCATTGAATTAAATGTAGCGCTAGTATTTGTTTGTTGATGTCCATTGAAAGTGATAACCGTCGTACTGCGGGAACCCCCTTGTAGATAAATGAATGATTTTGTTGACGGGATCGTCACCATTTCTCTGCAAAATCACCATATTAGAACAAAACCTCACTACAAATTAGGCATATTCATGTGTTGTATTACCTGTATTCACCAGGGTTGACTTGAATCTTAACCCATTTGTTGTTGTTAAGTGGAACTGAGTCGATGGCTGCTTGAATGGTCTTGAAATTGCCTTTGCCTGACTTGTCAACAACAATCACGGATTGAATTTTTAAGTCAAGGGCCCTTGTAAAGTTCATTGCAGCATTAAACATGGTGAACAACAAGAGAAATGGAGATAGTAGCTGCATTCTTTTCGGATCAGAAGCGAGCTGGAATCTGCAAAACTTCGTAATTGTCTAGATAATATCTTTAAACGTTATGGTTACTCAAATGGCCACTTTGAATATGCAATGGAACAAAAAGAATTCCAACTTTAATAGAGCTTAAACATGGTGGTTAATTTTATTCCTATTTTAGAAAATTATAAACTTACTTTAACTAATTATATAAAATTATATAAATATTGTTTATATGACCTAATAACTCGACCAATTTAGACTACCAACTAAAATCATAAAAGCTGAATTAAGGTTGGATTATGTTAGATTTTTTTTTTTTTTTTTTTTCCTCTTTGGACTGATTGAATTTTTGGAAAAACCAATACCCAAATTCAGTTTGTGGTTGACATTTTTTTGTCGGGTCAACCGTACCAACTCGAAAATAATGGTTTCAGCTAGGTTGGAAACTCTATTCAAGTTCCTCCCGTCACTAGTTCAACCAACCCGAAATTTTAAATTGGTCTAAACGTTTTTTCTAATCGAGTCTGTATACATCTTTAATGGCATGAAGAAGTTGGATATTTTTACTAAGAGAATTTAGTAGCAAATATAAAAATAAATAAATAAATAAAAGCCTCCAACAACGGAGGCAACTAATAAGTTGCACCTTCCTTCTCGGTCGCTCAATTATAGGAATTACATGGTCAAAAGTGATTTACTTAGAGTAAGTCTATGTTAGGTGACGTGATGTGGTACGAAATGACTCATGTTGGTTTGCAACATCTTGTTAAGCAGTTTCATATAAAAGATCTTGATCCTCTAACCTCGAGATTGAAGTTTCGAAAGCGGCTAGAGGCTCGAGGGGTTACTAAGCAAAGGGTCAAAGTCGGCTTTGTTATCGAGACTACTATACTACTAAATAGCAATAGGCAAAACTACAAGGATCTCGTGCGGCTTTCTTTGTTCTCTTGTCATAGTGAGAGGCCTTATCCATCCGTCAATGGAGCCAGCTTTTAGCGAAGATCTGTTCGTATGTTGTATGACGGGTCACAAAATATAGTCTTCACTCTTAAGAAGTAAGGAATAGGTCACTTGACCATGTCCGAAGTCATCAAGTGTCGAATTCGAATTCTAAATCTTGATTCAATCTGAATCCTAAATATAAGTCGTTACATAAACCGTCCAACCACGTAAGCGAGTCATAAAATACATAAATATCCGACCATCGAGAAGAGAATCATAAAAGAGAAAGTGACACATCCCAAAAAGAAGCAAGAATCCAAAAGAGAAAATAAAGAAACATATAGGCACATGATTGAAAGTGGCATGAAAACAAAAACAACCACATGCCTCTCTTTCCCTACTAATCATTGCCTTGCATGAAAACAAATTTCTAGCTGATACCCCCACCCAATTAGTGCTTCCCAACACATCCTTCTTTCTCGATTATAATACTAAACTCGACCCGACACAAATAAATTTCTAAATATGCGTTTTTGTCCCGATATTTGAGTGTTTTTTCAGTTATGTCTCTATTGTAACGTTCGGGTGTTTTTTTTATAGTTCAATTCTCCCGTGCTGATCAATGACTACCTTAGTCGACGACATAGATATAGAGAGAAAAAAAAAAAGTCATCTACAATAACAAAGTTTCTAATTTCTGTGAGATCCCACGTCGATTAGAGTATGGAAACCTCTCATTAGTAGACGCGTTTTAAAATCGTGAAGTCAAAGTCGAATAATATTTACTAGTGGTGAACTGGGTTGTTACAAATGATATCAGACCCAAGTTTCGATCTTGAGATAATATTTGCTAGCGGTGAGTTTTGGCTGTTATAATTTCATTCTCGAGTTTCTTAGAAATTTTTATAATATTCGAGTTTTTTCCAATAAATCTTCATCCATTCGTCAGGTAAGTTTATCGTTAACCATTTTTGACATTTACCAACGATAAGAAACTACATCGAAATTGAAAAACGCTCAAACAATTCGATATCAAAACGTCCTTCATTCTCTGTTTAGTTGAAAATGTTTTTAAAGTACGATTTAGTATCTATCTCTAAAATCGTGTTTTACCCATTTGAGAAAAAGACCAATTTCTTCCTCTCTTTTTTTCACCTCAACGTTAAACTCGTAAGATAGTCAGCTAACATAGTTATCGACGTAAAACAACATCAGCTCGTGATCAAAACGTCACATATTCAAATATTAATAATTCGTATTAATAAAAAAAAAAAAGATAAATTGAATGGATAATTTAACCCTAAAATATTGTATATACATTATCCATATTAATGATTAAAGAGAGAAAGATGAAGCATTTTTAAATACAAAAGATGGAATTTGCCTAGCTTTGAAGACAAGACATGGAGACAAAGTGAGGTTGTGCATGTTTTTTTTTTTGCAAATAATAATGAACCTCATTTTGTTTTTCCTTAATCTTTAAGATTAAGACGTTTGAACACACCCACGAAATCGGATACAGCTTGGTTTAGGTTTTCAAAAGCTACCCGATCAAAAGAATCTAATTAATGTGACGAGTTTTCGTTGATTAGCTTGTATTAAGCTTTATCGGGTTAGCTTATTCGATTTTCTAAAGTTCTTTAAACATCTTTTTAGTTGATGTAACGAGCTACATCAAGTTTTGTCTGAAATCGAACAGAATCTCGTTAAAGTCAATATAAATTTTATTATTATAATCGACGTTAAGACATTGTGTCGTGATATATTTTCTTTTTTCTTTTTAATCTATATTAATATATTTTTTATATTTTTTATATTTTATTTATAAATTGAAATTTTGTTGATACAAAATATATTTTTTCTTTGAAAAAAGTAAAAAATAAATAAATAAAATATTTATAAATATATTGTGCTAATAAAGTTGATTGCTTGTTAAATTGGTCAAAGATTAAGAAAAGCATTCAACAAATCCCCACTTTAAAGTCACAAATAATTTAAAATATATAAAGAGACAAATAATTTAAAATAAAATTCAATAATTTTTTTTTTAAAATTTTCATATATTATATTTTATTCCTCAATTTTGAATATTTATTATATTGATTATTTACTAGTAAAATAAAGGACATAAAATAACATGACCTACCGAGGTTGGAGAGGGGAACGAAATATTCTGATCCTATCATTACACATTTTAAAATCGTGAGGCTGACGGTAACATGAGCCAAAATAGGCATGTTAGCGGTCGGTTTGGGCTGTTACACTTTTGAAACCAATTTAAAATTTCAAGTTGGTTGGGTTCGTGAGTGGCGCAACTCTAATAAAATTCACAGCTCAAACCCTCTATTTTCGAGTTGTTCTTTTTTTATTATTTTAAAAGTTCGAATTATTGGTTAAATTAATAACTAAAATTTTATAAAATTCAAATATCAAACATTCTTACGATCGTCAAATATTCTTAATTCTCATAATAATCTTAACAGTAGGGTAGGATAAGGTAGGGTTAGATTGTAACCCTATTTTCAGTTTGGTCGGGCTGACTTGACTAAAAAAATATCAACTTACGAACCGACCCGAATATTTAGTTTTCAAAAAATTCAACCCGGCCCAAACCGAAAAGAATGCTAACCAAACTTAACATCTATGATTTGGGTTGAGTAGTCTAAATTGAGCGGATTTTTGGGTCAACCGACAAAATTATAAAAAATAAAAAAATAAAAAAAATCAACCCTTCAAAATAAAACAATAATGATAACTTTTAAGAAAGGGAATGTCTTTTATGATATTTAATGCATTAATAATGTTTTAAATTAATTATATACAAACTTAGAAATAAAATAATATAAAGAAACATAACATCACATGGGTAGTAAATAGATTTGATCTCTTTAAAACAAAAAGTAACCCTCAAGAATCTCTCTATCATTTGAGAAATTACGACTATAGGTTAAATTTAAATCATAGGTTCAAAATTAAATTAAAAAAAATTAATAAATTACACTTTTAAGGTCATCGGAGTTCGGGATTGTAGCTAAATTAGGTTAAGGTTCTGAAAATGACAATCGAATTGGTCTTCGATTTCTTCCGCTATCTTATTACGGCTTGGTCAGATACTCGAGACTCTTGATCATTCCTTTTCTATTATCAACAATGTATAGCGATCAAATAGAATTGCTCGAGAACACTGAAGGATTGGACTCAAGCTTTTCCCCCACAAACTTTACCCCGCCTATTAATCGTATAATTATACTGCCACTATATTTATTCTTAAATTTTTATAAATTTAAAAATTAAATTATTATGTAAAATCATTTTAAATTAGAATTTAAAGATTAAATTATGAGATTCGTTTTTTTTTTTTTTTTTTTTGGGTGTAAATTGTAAAATAATATTTGAAAAAAAAAGAGAAAAATTACCGAAAGCAGGAATGGAAGATGTATATAAGCGTGTTTGAAGGACTCAGAACGCGTGATTTCCCGTGATTCTTTTAAACCCTCTTCTCTCTCTGTTTCTCTCTCTAAAACTCACTCCAAACTTCAATCTCTCTCACATTTCATCCTCCAAATCCTTCGCAAGTTCTTCGTCTTCTAGGTATTCATCTCTTTCGTCTTCATTGATTTATGCACAGATTTGATTGTCTTCTTCTTCTTCTTCTTCTTCTTCTCCGGTTTTCTCCTAATTTGAATTGTTGTTTCCTGTTTTTATTTTTTAGTTTCTTCATTGTTGTACTGGTTGATTTTAGTCTGGATTTTGAGATTGATTCAATTGCTTGTAGTCTGGTGTGGTTGTTCAGAATTGGCTGATGTTTTATTTACAGATTGTTGCTGATTTGTGTGGAGAAGAGACGGAATAGATAAGAGATTTGAAATTGAATCGGTTTCTAATTTTCATGGACGCGGAGGAATCGAAGAACTCGAAAAGGTCGTTGCAGAAGCCGAATAAACGCCGCCAAATTGCTTCGGATGTTAGTGCGGAAGGTAGAGAACGGAGGTGGAGAACCGAGGTCGAGCAACAGATCTACTCCTCGAGAC